CAGAGGGAGGAGGGCGGAAGGGAGCAACACCCTTTCCCCTCTGGGCAGAAATGATTGCCTGGATTAACGCATAGTCCTTTCACTTTTCTGCTCCAAGCTGCTGGGTTCTGCATTAAGTCCTTGTGCTTCTGGGGCTGTGGCCGTGCTGGAGAGCCGCTCGTGGGGGGCAACTGGTGACCTCGGTAGGGCGTGAAGGACGGACCGGAACGCCCCCCTTCCCATGAGGTTCTAGTCACCTCCACACCCCTAGCCCATACCTGCTGTTTGGGTCTTAGCTTTACATCACCCCAGGAGAGGTGTCCCCTAAGCATCCTTTAGGGCACTTGCTCAAGGACTCTTTCTGGTCTCTTTCCCTTCACCATCTTCTGTTTCCATATCATCTCTCATTTCTTGAGTTGTTGGCCTGTTTCCAGGGTATTTACTGAGCACCAAGATCATTGTGGCCACTCCTGAGAGAGATCAGGGTCCAGTTTAGCCAGCTGGGTGTGCAATTGTCCAGTTTGGTGTGACAGAAAAACGGGAATACCTCATGAAGTCTAACTTGGGGGTCAGGACAGCTAAAACCTAAAGGACTTAGAGGGAGAACAGGAAATACTCTGGGACTCACAATTATCAGGGTGTTGGGCTATGAACTGATCAGGAGACCTGCAGAAACTGATTCCAAACTCAGCTTTCCACACCCCAGACACGAGGTACCCAAGGAACTGCCCTGGTCTCTGGCCCTTGCTCCCCTGAGCCACAGGTCAGCCTGTTGCAGAGCCAGACACACCTGCCACTCCACTTCCACCCAGGCCCCCCCTGCCTGAACCTGGTGCCCAAACTGGCAGGGGCGGGGTGGAGCTGGGGGTGGAGTCTGCAGGTAAGTCAGAAACTCCAAAGGTCACGGAAGCAGGAAGCCATCTCCAACAGGCTGATGTTGGAGTCCCAGCCATCATTCAGGCACTGCCACTCTAACTGAAAGGCAGTGCGGCAAATGAGCTCTCAGCGTCTAGCTCTGGGGCAAGCCTGGAGAGAAGGCCGTACGGGTGTCCTCAGTGTGGCCTCTGCGTGTCTGCAATGCGTGTGCTCACAGGCATGCCTACGCTCAGACAAGGCTCTGAACATGTTGGCCAGCATGGGTGTGTTTGTGTGTGCACTGTGTGTGTGCACTGGTTCTCATAGACATGCACTGAAGGGTGCTCTGCTCAGGAAGCGCAGGACTCGCTGGGCTGTGGCAGTGGTCCCACCACTGCAACGGCCAGCCTGGGAACCCGCGGGGCAAGGTTGGTGCTTTCTACCTTCAGTGTTGCGGGTCCACTGGGAAGGAGTTACCAGACCTTCCCACATTGGGTGTGGCAGCCCTGCAGGGCCTCTGGGAGTCCCGCCCCCAGCTACAACTGAAACTGCAAACTTTCACCACCTATGTCTGCTGCCGTGCCACGCCTGGGATTGGCAGGCGTGGCATGTGGGTAGGACAGAGTTCACCATTCCTCCCCTCCAGCAATGCCTAGCTGTATCGAGGAGTCAAGCAACTTGTCTCCCATAAACATCCTCCGCACCTAAAATTATTTTAGGGGCTAGAGAGTTATCACAGGGAGGAAGGTGCTTGCCCTTGCATGCAGCCGGCCCCATCTTGTTCCCTGGCACTGTACAGGATCCTCTGACCCCGCCAGGAGTGACCCCAGAGCAGAGGCAGGAATAAAAGCTCTGAGCACCACCAGGCATGCCCCACATCAAATGATTTTGAAGTGGGCATAAAGGTCCAGCCACCACTCTGCCAGAAACAGGGATGTACTCAGTGATGTACTCAACATTTTCTCCAAATCCCACTCCACTGGGTTGCTGGGAAATCCAGAGTCTGCGAGGGCTGGTGAGTCCCCAGCACCTGGGAAGCAGCTTTCAGCAGTGCCACCTCCTCGTGGGAACCCAGGGTTCCATGTCACATGTGACCCGGGACTTCTGCAGTATCCAAAAGGGACCATGTGGAGCTGGGGGCCTCTGAGGAACAGCTGAGGGCGGGAAGCTGCTTTGCCCAGGCTGAGACCTCATATTCCCGCCCTCTGCCCACCCAGAATAAGCGTCCAGTATCCTGCTCACAGAACCCACTGTTCTTCGCTTCCTTGGCCAGTCTCAGAACTTCTTTGGGTTCTTGGAGAAACTGTTCCTCCTACTCTGCCTGCCTACCTACATCACTTCCTCCCGCCCACTCCTCCTCCCTTCATCACAATCCTTCAGGGGCTCCTAGTGTCTCCCCTCTCCGTTGGAGGGACCCGTGTGACCCCATCACTAGTCCATCCCCACTGTCAAAGGCAACCTGGACTTTCGGACACCAAAAGCAGGCCAGGAAGTATATTTTGCAGCTCACCTTTCTCCTCTTCCTGCTCTTCCCCAACCCCCCCAAAGCAAAGAACCCAGAAGTCCCTTCTTGCCTACTTTGTCACAGTCCCTCCTGCTTAATGCATATTGCACACACATATAGTATACATTTATTTTTAAGTATACATACGCATATATTGGCATTATTGCTACCCGCTAGTCCCAAGTGAAGCTCCTCTTTGTTATGTTTGTGATCGTTAAAATAATGCCCAGCTCACATGTTGTTAAGTTAGAAATATGTTCAGCTGAAAGGAGTTTAATACCCGACTAACAGGGGTGTACAGGGGTTTGTTTTCCTGACGGGAGCCGGGAGTCAGGCACCGCAGGGCTGATGCCCAGCAGAGGGGCCTCCATGCCCCATTTTTCTGCAGAGAACTTGTTGCTTTCCCATCCTCAGGTTTGTTGCCTCATTGTCCCAAGGAGGTTGCTGCAGCTCCGGGCATGTTTACATTAAAACAGGAAATGGGGGAAGGCAGGGCAGGAACAAAGCCTTAAAAAGGAACTTTCCTAGCTTTCCCATCTATCTGATCCTCTGCCTACCACGTGGGGGACCATATCCCACTCAGGGAAGCTGCCAAGTAAGGGGGAAAGGGGCTCATCTTTGTGAAGGAGGCAGGAGTGTCCTGAAGTGGGTTGAATGCCTACTGGATAAGCCTGTCCGCCACAGGAAAGGACCCCAGGTCACAGTTTACAGAACAGCTCTTGGCCTTTTAAGGAAACTGCATCCAACATAATGACCAGGAGACCCAGAAGGGCAGAGAGTCCCAGAGCTGAGCCCTTTTACACACACACAAGCTCTGCCCAGATATTCCTTCCACCATCAAAGCCAATGCCCCTTCCCGCAGCTGGAAGAGGCTGCTGCCACCATACCCAGGCTGGCGACAGTGCAGATGTCAAGCAACAGATGAGAGGGCGCAGGCCCCCCTGGCAGGGCTGGTTAAGGAAAGGAGCCATGCTAAGGATGCGCCCAGGGAGAAGCTGATGGGAACTGCTGGGACGGGGACAAGGACAGCATGACAGAGCTGGGTAGCCTCATCATCTCCCTGCTGGGCAAGCCTCTGTGAGCCCTCTCCAGCCCATCTGGAGGTGCCCACGGAGGACCTGGGAGGGGGAGTCCCAGTGGAGGGGGTAATCCCTCTGCCCAGGAACTCCCACTCTCCTCTTCCCTCCATCAGACTCTCTGGCCCTCCCAAACTGTTTCTACCATGCAGTGGGGCTGGTTTGGTTGCGGGGGAGCCACACCAGTGGAGCTCAGAGGCTACCCCAGCTCTGCACTCCTGGTGGTACTCAGGGGCTCACGTAGAGTGGGCACTAGCCATCTGATCTCCTTCCACACCCCACAAAGTTGCTTTATTTTGGGGCCACACTCAGGGATGCTCAGGGGTTATTCCTGGCTCTGCACTCAGAGATCACTCCTGGCGGTGCTCAGCGTGAGGTGTGAGGCAAGCACCCTACCTGCTGTACTATCTCTCCAGCCCCAAAGCTGTTTCTTGATCTTCTGATGCCTCTTAGGTTGAAGCAGACACCCCTATAGTGTGTGTGTGGGGGGGGCGGTATATTTTTTTAGGAACACCCACTTCCCCTCCCGCCCCTCCCCTTCCCATGCCACCACCTCTGAGCCACACTAGTGAGTATGTGCATGCCTGCGGTCATGGGTGGGTGTTGGGGAGATGATCCCTCTCTGTGTGCCATCCAGGTCCACCCCGCTTTCCCTGGCTCCACCACTCAGGGAAGCACAACACAACAATGCCAGGAAGATCTGGAGCAGAAAATGAAGAAAAGCTCCTGCAGCCAGGCCCAACAGAGAGGGTGGGAAGGAAAGGAAGGCACTGGGGGAGGAGGTGATGGAGAAGAGGAGGTGATGGTAGAGAGGAGGGAAGGTGGGTCTGGGATGCGGGCAGTTCAGGCCCTGGGCAGGCAGACAGGGAGGCAACCTCATGGCCCTGCCTCCACCGGCTCCTGGGGCCAGGAGGGATAGGGGTTGCTGAGGAGAGGGGTAGGGAGGGGCACGGGCTCTTCTCAGAGGTGCTGCCCACCCAGCCAGGACCAGAGACTCCACCTACCATGGCTTGGGCGCTTCAGGCTGGCTCCCCACTCCCACCGCACCAGGCCCGACCTAAAGAATCGCATGGCTGCAGAAGCAGGAGCGAATGCCTGCATCTACACATGCACAAAGACTATCAGAAGGTGGGAAAAGGGGGGGGTTGCCATGTTTCTCTCCCCAAGACAATGTGACCATGGGGCGCTGGTGCGGGGAGGGACGGGGCGCTGATGTGGGAAAGTGCACGCACTGGCTGGTTTATTGGGCAAAGTCTTAGAGACTCAGCAAAGCGCAGGGCCGGGGAGGGGATCGGCAACGCCCCGGCCTCTGCGCTGGTTGGGGGCGCCCCCTCTCTGAGCGGTCTGGGGAGTCTCTCCTTCAGGACCCTCTCCTGGAGAGCTTGAAAGGGGGACCCTTCTTCCTTAGGAGGGCAGGTGTGGGTGACTGGGTCGGGAGAAGCAGCAGCAGCCTGTGGTGGGGGTGGGGTGGGGCAGCGGGAGATTGGGGGCTCTGGCGTGGCCCTGAGGCCCCTCACTCCCGAAGGCACTAAGAGCAGGGCCGCCCTGGCAAAGCCGCGGGGGGCCGGTGTGCGGTGGCGGGCGCCTCAGCTGAAGTCTCGCTGCGGCAGGAGGAGCGGGGCCACCAGCGTCCACAGGTAGAGCAGCAGCCCCGCCCAGCTGGCGCACATCTTCACCCACACGGCCGTCCACGTGGTGATCATCTTCCGGGTCTCGCCAGGCCTGCAACACAGCGCCCCGTGGGCCGCGCGTCAGCTCTGCGCTGACCAGCTTCAACCCCCCACTTCTAATACCTTTTCTTTGGGGGTGAAGAGTCAGACCACAGGCAGCAGTGCTCAGGATTCCTCCGGGCACTGTGCTCACTCTGGGCACGGCTCGGCGGACCATATGTGGTGCCAGAGATTAAACTGGGGCCCGCTGCATACAAGGCGAGCACCTTGACTCCTGTACTATCTCTCTGACCCCCCCTCCCTATCATTACTGACCTTGTGCCACTGACTTAATCCCTGCATCAACTCCAACCTTGACCCCAGGCTTCATTAGGGGAGCCCCCGCCTCCAGCCCTATCCACCTGTAGCCAGTACTGAAGCCGCAGGGGACATGGGCGAGGGAACCAGCGAGCTGTGAACTGCCCTCAGAACCTGCCCTGGGAGCTCAGCCCCTAACCTCAGTCCCGATATCAAACCTCAACACTGACCCTCAGCCCTGTCACCCCAACCTGACCTCAGCCCTTGAGTTCTATGCCACTAGCCTCAATTATTTTTTTTAATTTGGAGGGGGATGTCTCCTAAGTAGAGGTCCCTCCTGGCGATTCTTGGCCAACCAAAGGACACTTTGCTGCTCTGACCTCAGTTCTGATCCATGACCCTGTGTCCTCAGTCCTAGCCTCTGCCCTTGAACTCTGGCCCCATTCAATGACCTTCTAGCTCATCTTAACCATATGGCCACATCTGTGTCTTCATCTGGCCCCATGGCCATTTTTTGGGTAGGGAGCCACACCTGGTGGTGCTCGGGGGTTACTCCTGGCTCTGCACTCAGGAATTACCCCTGGCAGTGCTTGGGGAACCATATGGGGTGCTGGGGACCCAATCCAGGTCGGCCGCATTTAAGGGAAGTGCCCTCGCACTGTGCTATCTCTCCAGCCCTGACCCCATGTGGGCTCGTATTCTTAACTCTTCGGCTAAGATTCCGAGCTCCACAGTCTAATCCTAATCTTTAACCAGGGACCCTAAACCCGACTCCAGGATCCCAATCTCCACCCCCAATCTGTGTATCCTGTCTGTCCCGCGTGGAGTGTGCCCCACCCTCCTGTGATCCCCACTTCTCAGGCCCTTGGAGAAGGCACCAGGGGCTGAGCAGATGGAGGCCCAGGCTGGCAAGCTGGGGTAGGGGTGGGGCGGGTGCCCAGGAGGGTCCCAGGGTGATACCACCACCCCCAAGCCTTGGGAAGGCCGCGGGCGGAAGCGCACCTGTACCAGTTGGTCAGCGTCATCATGATGTACAGCGAGGCAAGCAGCAGGCAGCAGTGGAAGAAGGAGTAGCTGTAGCAGACACTGTCCTGCTCATTGTCGTAGGCCCGGTGCTCGGTGGTCACCACCTGCTGCCGCTGCTGCATCACCTGCACCGTGGCCACGTTCTCCTCCGTCTGCATCAGGCTGTTCACCTGTGGGTGGTCTGAGGAGCGCAGGCTGTGGGGAGCAGGGACACTGGTCATCACAGCAGCAGGGGCTGTGTCTGGGCCCCTGGGTGCGGGTGGTGAGGCGCCCGACCCAGGAGTTAAGAAACTGCTTTGTTTTGTTTTGTTTTTTGGGGGGGGCTACACCCGACAGTGCTCAGGGCTGACTCCTGGCTCTACTCTCAGGGATCACTCCTGGTGGGACTCAAGGGAATCTATTGGGGTGCTGGGGATCGAACCCAGGTCGGCCATGTGCAAGGCAAGAGCCTTACTGGCTGTACTGACTCTCTGGCCCTTTACAAACCACTTTGATTCTCACTCCACTTGTGACCTGAGGCAAGACCCTTCACCTCTCTGAGCCCTGATTCCTCCTCTCTGAGGTGGGGGAGAGTCGCACCAACCTCCTAGAGGTGCTGGAGTGTTACTGGACTAAGGCCCAGAGTAGGACACTCACTGCTACCCCAGAGTTCACTGCCTTCTCCACAAACACGTACTGCGTGCCCAGTACTGCAAGGTACCATCCCATGCACCACAAGCCTTCGGCATGCCACGGGCTAGCTGGTAACACACCTTTGCCTTCCTAGAGGCTGTTTTCCCTCCATCCGTCTTAGGGAACAGGTTGATGGATGGCAGGCCCTTTCTTCGTGCTTATAATAGAAAGCAGCCTCAGCAATGGTTCTCTCATGCATTAGAGAAAGGTCTTGATGCTTTTAACGTCTACGAAAGTTTGTGACACAATCTTGGGAATCCAAGCTAAGTAGTTGTTTGTTTGTTTTTGTTTGGGGGTTGTGCTCAGGGCTTACTCCTGACTCTGAGCTCAGAGATCACTCTTGGCAGTGTTTGGGGGTCCATATGGGGTACCAGGGAGTAAACCTGGGTGGGCTGCAAGCAAGCCACCCTACCTGCTATACTATTGCTCTGGCCTACCAGGCCATGTTGTGAAAAAAAAAAAAAGAAAAAGAAAAAAGAAACGAAAAGACACTTTGATTCCAGTGTACCCCATCAGGGGAGAGGTCACCCCTGTGAGTTCTAGCTGACCCCGGCTTGACAGCTAGTACCTGCGAGGGGAGCCACATTGGCCAGTAGGCCAGAGACCACGGTGGTGGCTCACCCAGCCCTGTTGTCCCCCACCCCTGCTTCCTCTTGAAAATCCTGGCGCCCCACCAGGTCCTACCCCGGAAGACAGCCCCACCCATACCTGATGAAGAGGGTGCACAGGATGAAGATGATGAGCCCCACGATGCTCGGCGCATCCCACCAGTGCGTCTTATAGCCATCGGGGATCGTCCCGTTGCTATAATGGGTCAGCAGGTGGGGGTTGCATTTCTGGTCTGGGGACAGGAGCATAGTCAGGCCAGGTGTGAGGACAGGCAGAGACAGCCCCAGAGGATAGACAGACATAAGTCACAGCAGCAGGTCACGGACCGAGTTCAGGGACGCAGCCTCCCAGGGAGGTGGGTCCACCTGATCCTGGAGCTAAATCTCGGGTGAGGTTAAAGCAGGGGTGTCTCTGTCAGATGTGAGGGTTCCAGGCTCCCCACCCCCCGGGGCAGCTGCTGGCCCAGAGCCCAGGCAGAGCTGTACTCACCAGGGACATTGGACAGCGCCATCCAGGTGACAAACATGGTGTAGAGGGTGACGACTGAGGCCTGCAGCAGGCCCGAGTTGGGCTGGCAATCCTGGCAAGGGCAAAGTTCATCAGCAAAGCCACCCCCCAGGCCACTCACCTCAACCCAGGCAGAAACCGCTGCCCCTCGGAGCCAGCGCACCCTACCTCCTTTGGGAAGACAGCACTCACGCCCCCCTCCCCCTCATATCAGGTACCCTACCTTCCCCCCCTGGAGGCCGCGTCTGGCACACTGAGGACTGGCCTGACTGCACCTGTCCCTCCCTGCCGGCCTCCTCTGGGTGTGGGAGCCGCCCAGAGCCTGTCATGCCATCACCAGGGGCGGCCAGGACCTCAGTCCCACACGGGCTGGGGCAAGCTCAACTCACCTGGATCTTGGGCAGGATGGAGACGATGGAGATGCAGACACAGAAGGTGAGATTGAGGCTGATGAAGATCTTGCCCTCGTGGCAGCCCCCAGGATGGGTGTAGTAGATGAACATCAAAGCCACGGCGGCGAGGGACAGCGTGTAGAAGAAGAAGGTGAAGAAGAAGAGGCCTGGGCAGGGGGTGGGGGGTGGACAGCACACTGCGGTCAGCCGGAACTGGGACCCCCATTGCCTCTAGGAGCTTGTCAGACAGGCCTCGCCTCAGGGGTGACAGTGGGGTCACCTGACCACGGCGCCCCTGAGTCTGTCCCTGTGTGCACTAAGACAGCCACCTGCCACACATAAGGTGACCGCCAAGCACACACAGTGGGGTCCAGGGAGGCATGGGGTTCTGTAGTGAGTGCTTTGGGAGCCTCACGTTTCCTGAGCACCAAGTCAGGAGTGACCCTGAGCATTGCTGGTGGCCCCAAAATAACACTTGGGAACCCCCAGGGGCTGGGAGGACAGTACAAGTCCCACCTGGGGGGCCCCAGCACCCCCAAGGGGGTTCCCAGCACTGTGGGGCCCCAGCAGCAACACATGCTCAGGGCCTGGCCCTGAACCCCAGACCAGCTGGCCGAGTACCTTAGGGCCCCCCTGAGAACTACTTGGGAGGCAAAACAAAACAAACAACCTAAAACAGAAAGAACTCAAAAATAGTGAATTTGGGCTTTTCAAAAATGACCTAGAGGCTGAAGAGATGGTTCAGGAGGTCAGAAAATTGCCTTGCATGGGCTGCAGTGGCCATGACCTTGTCTTAGATTCTAGCACCACATATGGTCCCTTGAGCATTGCCAGGAGTCATTCCCAGGCACAGAAGGGATGGATGGAGGAGAGTGGGAAGAAGGGAGGGAGGAAGGAAGAAAGGAAGGAAGGAAGGAAGGAAGGAAGGAAGGAAGGAAGGGATGAAGGGAGGGAGGGAAGGAGGGAGGGAAAAGGAAGGAAGGGATGAAGGGAGGGAGGTAAGGAGGGAGGAAGAGAGGTGAGAGGGAGGGAGGGATGGAGGGAGGAAAGAAGGAAGGAAGGAAGGAAGGAAGGAAGGAAGGAAGGAAGGAAGGGGAGGGAGGGAGGAAAGGAAAGAGGGAGGGTGGAAGAGTGGGAGGAAGAGAGAGGGAAAAAGGAGGGAGAAAGGGAGGGAGGGATGGAGGGAGAGAAAGAAGAAAAGAGGGAGGGAGGGAAGGAGGAGGAAAGGAAGAAAGGAAGGGAGAGAGGAAGGAAGAAAGGGTGGCAGAGAGGGAGGGAGAAAGGCAGGCAGGCAGACTGGAAATGACTCAGTAGTACAGGTCATGACTTGCATGTGTGAGACTCTAAATTCAATCCCAGCACCGTGGAAAGCAGAAACCGAGAATCGTGGTGGGTGGTCTGTTGAGTCCTTCTTTCTTCCTTTCTTCCTTCCCTCCCTTTCTTTCTTCCTTCCTTCTTCCCTTCTTCCCACTCTCCTCCATCCCTCCCTTCTGTGCCTGGGAATGACTGCTGGCAATGCTCAAGGGACCATATGTGGTGCTAGAATCTAAGACAAGGTCATGGCCACTGCAGCCCATGCAAGGCAATTTTCTGACCTCTGAACCATCTCTACAGCCTCCAGGTCATTTTTGAGAAGTCCAAATTCACTATTTTTGAGTTCTTTCTGTTTCAGGTTGGTTTTTTTTTTGTTCCCCCCCCCCCCAACCCAGCACCCCCGCCCCCCCACCCCGTGGTTCGGTTCTGATGACCTCATCATGCCTTGGGGTTTGGAGTCTGGGTGGCCCATTCTGAACGCAGACTTGGAGCCCCCCAAGCCATCCTGCCCCCATGCCCTGCCTCCACTTGCCTGGAGCCCTCCTCCCAGGCATCCACCTACTGTAAGCACCCCTCGGCTCTGGGGCAGCCCAGTGGGGCCGCAGGCAGCACTCACCTGCATACCAGGCACGCGAGTCGCACTCCTCGGCCTTCCACAGCCACCGCTGGTTCCAGCAGTGTGCGAAGTCGATGAACAGCAGCAGCTGGATGAGGATGAAGATGAAGGAGCCCACCATGCCACAGTAGAACAAGCCTGGGGGTGGGGGAGGGGACAAAGTTGGGGCTCTGGGAGCTGCAGCCGGGAGAGCCAGTTAGTGCTGACTCAGAGGGCTCCTGGGGAGTTTACCCATTCAAGGCCCTTCACGGGACTCTAAGAAGCAAAGCCCTGCCCTCAGGGAGCCCCGTGGACAGCAGGATGGCCAGAAGGATGGCCGGCCAGTCCCCACACACTCCCCCTCCCCCAAGGGCACAGTGTTCCAGGTTCCAGGGATAAGAGCAGCGCCCCCCCCCCCCCCCCCCCAGAGCTCCTCTCTCACAGACCCCGCCACATCCCCAAGGGTTGCCTACTGTCCGTGAAAGAGCCGTCAGGGATGTAGAAGGAGCCCACGGTGATACCCACGAAGAGCAGGAACTTAAAGAACCAAAACCTGAAGTGGGCGGGGAGAGACGCATTAGCATCAGACTGGCCCCCCAGACTCCCCTCCAAGGAGCACTGGCAAGGTGAAGGGGGCCTTTCTGGGTTCTGGCAGGCACGGGGGCGTCTGATGGCCCTAGACAAAGCCCTCAGGGGCACCAGGGAGGCTCTGGGCTCTGGAGCCAACCAAGGTGTAGCGGGAGGCCTGTTGCTGCACTTTCTTCTGGTTTTTGAATTTGTTTTTTTTTGGGGGGGGGGGGGCATACCCAGCAGTGCTTATGGCTTGCTCCTGGCTCTCCGCGGCTAGCCTATCTGCCCCCCCAACCCCCCAATCCATGGAGCTGCCCTCTCTAAGCTTCTTCCTGAGATAGGAACAAGCCCCGCAGGCTGGTCCAGGGGCTCCAGGGTCTGGTGGGGGCAGGGGGTGGGGGGGCCCAGAGGAGACGCCCCTTCCTTACCCATTCTGGATGGCAGCCCTGGGGTCGCGGCTGCTGCGCACGCAGAGCATAAGGAGCGCGAACAGGAGGAAGAAGATGGCCATGGCGAAGCACATGCGGTAGACGGCGCGGTGGCCCAGCAGAGAGCCACAGTCGATGAAGCCCTGAGTGATGATGAAGGCCCCGGGGTCCTCGCACACCCAGGGCAGCTGTGAAGACAGACGGCAGCTTGAAGCCCCTCCCCACGCACCGCCACGCCCCCAACTGCAGCCCTAGGAGGGAGCCCCCAAACCGGGGCTCCGAGGCAAAGGCAGGCTGGGCCCAGACTGGGGGGCAGATGCTGGACATCCCAAAGCGCCCCCACATCACGGTGTCCTGAGGTTCTTGTGGGGGAAATGCTTCCGAGGCCCCTTCCCACGGGGCTAGCCTCTAGGGCCGGATCTGAGAAGCGGCAATTCCAGAAAACTGTCCAAGGAAATCCCCCTCCTCCCCACCGCCCTCCCCGCCCGTGCGCGGGAGCAGCTCGTGTGGTCTATGATGAGATGTGACAAGGACATGGAGGGCATCAAGGACCCCACGCTGGGCTTGAGCCTTAAAGTGGAGAGCAGGCTCCCCTCTGCTGCTCCCCTCAGCTCATGGGGGTGCCAGAAAGCAATGACCACTGCTTCCTCATTAGCTGAGCCCCCAAGCCTGGGCGCCCTGTCCTGGAGGGGCTGAGTCCGCCGGGACTGGGGGCTGGGGGGTGTTCCCCCACCCCTTACCTTGTACAGTTGACTCTCCACTGCTGGCAGCAGCATCACGATGCACACCAGCACCCCCAGGAAAAGGAAGAGGGTGAAGAGGAGGCGGGACACGATGGAGTTGGGGCTGGACGGGCAGCAGCTGCATAGGATGCAGGGGGACCCGCCGCAGAGGCAGGAGGCCTGTGGCAGAGGAAAGCAGAGTGGTCACTCAGTTCCTCCTCTGCCCCCCTCCCCCACCGGCCTGAGAATACCTCCAAATCCCTCCAGACCTCTTCCCCAGCAGACACCCTGATTGACGTTCAGACTGCATGGGAGAGGCAGGTTGAGCGAGGGTGTTTGTGTGTGTGGGGAGGGGGGGAATCAAGCCTCCATGGTGGGACCACACTGTTTCTCCCTTAGCTGTAGGGTTGTTTTTTTTTTTTTTAAGCCAATCCAGAGGTCCAGCTGTGTCCCTGCTGAGCTGTGTGATCTTGTTCAGCTTGCTCAACCTCTCTGAGCCGCAGGTTCCTCTCTTATAAACAGGAATCATGATAGTATCTGCTCTCCACAGCAGTGGTAGGATAGAAATAGGAGGCCGGGGGACGTGACTTGGGGGTAAAGCACATGCCTTGCCTACACATCTCCCACATTACTTTTCAAAAACCAAAGCATGAAACGGGAAATTTACACTGCAGTTCCCTGGGGCTCCACTCCCCTGCCCTACTCCAGTTTCCTCTGCAGGACTCGCCTATCCAACAGGCTCTACAGTCCGCCTGCCTCGAAGCTCCAGCGCGCTGGCGCCGAAGGGGCAGGGGTTGCTCTGCTGAGGAGCTCAGGGACTGTGTGCTGAAGAAATGTCAACTGTGCATTCCAGACACATGACAAGAGGTTGGCAAACGGCGCGTGCAAGCTCGACACCACCAGGCTGCCGATGGAGGATGCGGTGGCCACCTGGCCCTTTCCCACCAGGCTCCTCTGACCAGAACCTGCCCCTTCGCTCCCCGGGGCTGCCTCGGGTCCTCTGGGGGCTGCTGAAGCTGCACCTCTTGTGGCTGACATCCCACAGGAGACGCATCCTGAGTGGGGTGCGGGGCCCACGGCTGGCTGGTCTGTTAGGCTTCTGTTAGCTCATCTTCCCCCACGTCAGCCTGAGTCTATGGCACTCGGGTACATATGAGTCTGGAGAGCAACGGAACACATGGCCCAGCCCTTGTCTTCCCCAGGCCGGAAAGGACACTCAGTGACTCTTAGAGGTAGCCTTTGCGCTGCTACCAGAGACTGTGGCCGAGTCTAGACTGGGGTGTCATTTCTCTTTTCCGAAGAAGTGACATTGATGCGGAGAGTTAAAGGAAGAGGCAGTGGTCAGAACAAGGGGAGGAGAAATGGGGTCTGGGAGATCCTCCACAGACTTTGTATGCAGGAATCCTGGGTTCTATTCCCAGCACTGCATGGTCCCCTGGGCATTGCAGGGAGTGACCCCCTGGGTTTTGGTGCGAGAATGTAAGCCAGGATGGGCAGGAACAGACTTACAGCAAAAGATCAGATTTGGGGCTCAGGAGATAACTCAATGGGCCAATGGGCCAAGTGTGTACTTTGGATGCAGGCGGCCCAGACTTGATCCCTGGCCCTGAGCTGAAGCATCTTTGGGTATGGCCCACCCGCTCCCCTCCCCCGCACAGGAAAAAGGAAAAAGAAATCTCCGAATTGCTGCAGGAAGGCTGATCTCTCCCCGCTGTTCTGAGCTCCAAGCCCCGCTTTCTGGACAGTTCCCAAGGCACATGGTATGTGGTGCTGGGGGAGCCTCTGCCTCTGTTCGACCCCTCTGCTCCCGGGACAGTGCTCCATTTTACCCATCTTCCACAATGCCAGATACAAGAGGGAGGCTAAAGGAAATGCTTGCAGAGAGAAATTCTTCCTTATGGTCCAAACCACAGCAGTCAACCCATTAGCAACTTAGGCTGCATCTTACAGACCCTTCCCCCAGTCCTGTAGCCTATCCATGGATGCCTCTAGGGGATGAGGAGATAAGAAAATGTCTAATATTCAAGGTTTTCTTTTTTTATAAACCATAGAGGGCTTTTCAGACAAAAGCATGCAATAAGTCCCATTTTATTATGGCAAGAAAACTGAGATCAGAGAAGTTAAGAAAGTTTCCAGAAGGGGGCTGGAGTGATAGTACAGTGGGTACATTTGCCTTGCATGTGGCCAACTCAGGTCCAATCCTCTTTAACTCATAAAGTCCCCTGAGCCATCCAGGAGTAATCCCTGAGCCAGAGCCAGGAGTAAGCCTTTAGCACCACCAGGTGTGGCCACAAAAACAAAAACCAACTAAACAAACAAAAATCTTGCCAGAAGTCACAGAGCAATGCTGAAATGCAAGTCGGTTTAGCACTGCAGTGAGCACCCTGTACCTTACATTAAGCCTCCGACACTATGACGTGGGCTATAAACCACCCTCACCTCCCACCATTCTGGGAAGTTGAAACTCTTGGAAGTGTCAAGGCCAAGAATGAACAGCAGAGGCTGGAGCCATAGCACAGCAGGTAGGGCATTTGCCTTGCTTGCTGCCGACCCAGGTTCGATTCCCAGCATCCCATATGAGTCCCCCGAGTACTGCTAGGGGTAATTCCTGAGTGCATGAGCCAGGAGGTAACCCCTGTGCATCATCAGGTGTGACCCAAAAAGCAAAAACAAAAAAAAAAATGAACAGCAAGTGCTCTGAGGAAGCTGGGAACTGTCAAGGCCAAGAGCACATAGCAAGAGGGAGATTGGCTTGGTTGCGTCCACTCAAGGACCTGGACCCACTAACTCAGGGATAATAGCAGTTCCATTTAATTGGGTTTTGTTTGGTTTGTTTCTTGTTTGTTTGTTTTGGCACTGACTTCAGGACCCTGTGACTAAGTATCTGGGCTCGGGCCCCTCTGTGACTTATAATTTGACACAAATAATCGAGACCCAAGATAAGCTGCCCCTGCAGTCAGGGAGCCTGGTCTGGTTCTTAAAGAGGGAAACAAAATCACTCCTGATATCTGACCCCTCAGACTGCCCTAGGAGGCAAGCGAGGGGGTGGAGAGAGACCAGCACACAGGCCCAAGCTGCTCCTGAGCACCCCTGAACCAGCTCTTCATTCTGACTCAGCCTCTCCCCTAGACCAGGAAAGGCTGAAAGACCTTCCTAGAGACATAACAGCCCATGGAAGTAGGGCAGACGTGTATGTACGTGAACTATTGGCAACAGGAAAATGATGGGGATGAGAATAACTAAAATCCATCCAGACCTCACAGAACCTCCTTCCAGGAATCACTCTGCTGCAGAAGGTAGCTGTTCAGACTCAGAGTGCAGCTGTTCAGAGCTCAGGGCAGCCATGCAGACCCAGAGGACAGCTGTGCAGACTCAGAGGGTAGCTGTACAGAGCTCAGGGCAGCCGCGCAGACCCAGAGGACAGCTGTGCAGACTCAGAGGGTAGCTGTGCAGAGTCAGGGAGCAGCTGTGCAGACTCAGAGGGTAACAATGTATATACACTGACATGGGGGCCAAGAATTAGGCTCAAGTGGTAGAACACCTGCCTTCCAAGTGTGAGGTGCTAGGTTTATCCCTGGAACTGCCTGCCCCTCCCTGAAACAGCAGAGTGTCGCCCCACAATAGCAACAACAAAATAGTAATAAAGTGGGTACTTTCGTTTATTTTGGGGTTAGAAGAAAACACCCAGCAGTGCTCAGGGATTCTTCCTGGTGGGGCTCAACCTTCTGTGTGCGGGGGATGGAACCCAGGTTGGCCAAAAGCAAGGCAAGCGCCTTCCCCCTGTGCTCTCTTCAGCCCCGAAGGGGTATTTTTAACTAAGTAGAATATAAATTATACCTTAATAAAGTCGTGTGTGTGTGTGGGTGTGTGTGTGTGTGTGTATGCACGCATGCAGGTGTGTGTGGTTTGGGAACCATACCCAGTGGTGCTCAGGGATTGCTCCTAAATTGGACAGGGATTACTCTGGTGTTGGACAGATTGTGCTCAGGAATCACTCTTGGAAAGGTTTGGGGACCTTATGGGATGCCAAGGATTGAACCCAGTTCAGCCATATGCAAGGCAAGTACCTTTCCCACTACCCTCTTTCCAGTCTATTTTATTTTTTAAATTTTTAATTAACTTTTAAAAGGCTGCTAAAATAGGTTCTAATTTTAGGGTATTTTTTTGTTTTGTTTTTGCTGTTATTTTTTGGTTGGCTGGTTGATTTTCTATTTGCCTTTTTGTTTCGGTGCCACATCTGCCGGTCCTCAGGGGCACCTCCTGGTTAAGTGCTCAGAAGTCACTCCTGTCATTGCTCAGGACCAAGCCTGGCCCTCAGGATTCAAAACATGTGCTCTGACTCTTTGAGCCATCTCGTTAGCTTTAGGTCTTAAGAACTTAGTAGAATCTCAAGAAACTGCAGATAACCTAAATGTTCAATCTCAAGGGACAGCAGTGGCCCCCTTTACTCCACAAAATGTTACAGAGGCAAGAAAGATGCAAGTCACAAGGCTGAGAAGCATCATGCTCGTGGCACAATGTGAAGGGTCTCAGCAAGGCAGAAACCCCCAGGCCCTGAGAAGCTCTGCACTCAAGGACAGACTGTGATGGAGAAGCACCAGGACCCTAGTTTTGATTGGAAACAAAAGAAACTGAGTTCCTTAGTTTAGAGCCTAGGGAGATGGTTCAAAGGGCTAAGTCACCTGCTTGGCGTGTGGGGGTCTTGAGTTCAATACCCCTTTGGCCCCCGCGTAGCACTGAGTTGGGCCTCATGGCCTTGTCACTGTTTGGTCGGAGCAGCACCACATTGCTGGATCCAAGCAATCAACTGTGGGTAACATTTGGAGTGACCCCCCACCCCAGTTCCCCTCTGCATTGCCTGGGATGCCTCCCCCCAAAATGAAAAACAGTAAAGCTGATTCTCGGAAAACAAACTGGCTTTCTACTTTGCAATACTACTCTAAAGAACTGAAAGCACCAATTCAAGTCAATACGTGTGTGTCCACGTTCACAGCGGCATTATTCACAATAGCCGAAAGGAGGCAGTAGCCCAAGTGTCCTTCAACAGGCGAATAGAAGCACGAAATGTGGCATAAACACACAGCCTCAAAGAGGAATGAGGTTCTTCAACATGCTGTAACATAGATAAACCTTGAGAACGTTCTAAGTGAAATCAAGATGCATGTAACATTATCAAATGGAGTTCTGTGATAGCATAGCAGAATGGGCTCTTGCCTCATGCATGGCGGACCCAGGTTTAATCCCCAGCATCATATATGGTCCTTGGCTGAACCCCGCTAGGAGTGATTCCCGAGCACAGAGCTAGGAGTAAGCCCTAAGTGTAGCAGGGCATGACCCCCCAAAACAACAAACAAAAAAAGATGCAAGGAAGGAACAAATATGGAGGGATATAAAATAATTCTACCCAACTGCTGTATTATCTCTCTGGAGGAGGGGGGGAGGGGAGGTTAAGGAGAGCAGGAAGTTAGATTGGGGAAGAAGGGTAGTCTTCAGCATGCAGCTAGGAACAGTGTACTTCCAGAAGAGAGACGAAACGAGAGAAAATTCGAGTGTTGATGGAATCTCTGCAGAAGTCACACCAAGCACTCTGAACTCCAGCCTGATGAGAACCATCAGATTCGCCATTTAGAAAAATCACAGAATGGAGGGCAGATCAAGGGACGTGCAGTACTTACAGGAAGAGTCAGGGTGGTCCAGAGTAGTCAGAGACTGACCCCCGAGGGAAGGGGAGAGACTCTGGACTTCTAGGTCCAAAGCTTTTCTTCCTCTGACAATACCACTTATTTGAGATCGATTTTATTTTCATACTAAAAAGGAGATTCCTATTTTTAATGTATAGAACATTGTTTCCTAAAATAAACAATAAGCCTCTAGAAGACCAAAGACAAGTTAAAAATGATGACTGAAGAGCAGGTAAGGCATTTGCCTCACACACAGCTGACCGGGTTGAATTTTCAGCATCCTGTATGGTCCCCTGAACTCTATGAGGAGTAATTCCTGAGTGCAGAGCCAGGAGTAACCCCTGAGCATCGCCAGCTGTGACCCCAAAACAAACAAACAAATAAATAAATAAATGAGGACAGGAGAGATAGTCCAGTGATAGGGCACTTGCCTTGCACTCAGCCTACCCCAGTTTGATCCTGGCACCATATATGGTTCCCTGAATAACACTGAGTGTATCCTAAGTACAGAGCCTGAAATAGCCTCTGAGCACTCCTGGGTGTGGGCCAAACACACACACACACACACACACACACACACACACAATGCACACAAACAAGCACACACACAAGCACACAAATACATGCACACACACATGCACACACAAGCACACACACAAGCACAAGCACACACACACGCACACACAAGCATATATACTCACTAAATTTTCTGGTACTTAGAGGTTGCCACAATTAAACAAACAAAAACAAAAAAAAAACCTGGTCCCAGAAAGGACAAGCTGCTCATCACAGACTTAGGGAACAACGCTGAGCCCACTGAGCCAGTCCAGAACCAGAAGAAACCCAGGAGAGAAGAGTCAGCTATTCACTGCCTCAGTGCTCATGCCCCCGTGGCTGCTCTCTAAGGGCTCTGCGTCCTGGCTCTGCCACCGAGGGGTACCAGGGCCTGACAAGTTTCTCCCCTCTGTGTGAATCTGTGTCCTTGCTCTCAGGAAAGGCTCCTGAGTCCAGGAGAAGGGTGAGGTCAGCACCCAGACCTAGCTGAGGAGAAGCGCTACCGGGCCCAATAGATGACCCAAGGCGTTCCCCACTCACTGGGGCAGAATATGCTCCCTGAGTACTTATGGATGCCCACATACTCCCATCTCCTGTGGGTACCATGTACATGGCTAGAAGAATATAAAAGCCTCCCCAGGGACCCCGATTCCTAAAGATTCTAAGTCTTAAAGATTCTAAGAATCCCCCCCATTAGAACAACTCTGTACATGGACTGTATTGGGGTGCAGGAAATCCTACCCCACCTCACAGTGCAGGAAGTCTCACCAGCCTCCTGCTCAGATGTGAGCAGAGAATACCAGCTGCTCTGCAGGTTGGCATGGGGGTGACAGAAAAGAGGTAGAGAGAGGGTCCTACAGGGCCTGCAGACCCCAGGACAGCCCTGGGCAGAGTGCTAGGCCTACCTAAGGCCACAGGATGGGGACCAGGTGGCTCACTGCTACAGCTATACTGCAGGGACCATGGGAGACCACTCAAATGGCAGAGGGTGCCCGGCAGAGTGGGTGCTAGTAAAAGCCCGAGGTCAGAGCCCCAAGGGGAGGCTGCTGAAAGGAGGACAGGTCCCTTACGGCTATGAAGCCAGTGAAAGGAGCATCCCTCAGGCACAGGCGTATGCAGAAGGGAGGAAGTGACAGGCAGCCCCAATCAGAAATCAGATCTGGGGGGAGCTGGGCCACTCCCAGCAGTGTCCAAGGCTTACTCCAGGCTCTGTGCTCATGGAAACACGTGCAATGCCAGAACAGAAGCAGGGGTGGGTTGCATACAAGTCAAGAGTCTTAACCTCTGCACTATCTCTCTGGCCCCAGATTTTATTTTTATTTATCTTTTTTTGTTTGTGGTGCCAAGAATCAAACCCAAGACCTCACACATGCAAGACAAGGGCTCTACTGCTGAGCTCTGTATGTCCCTGCCCTGGAATCAGATTTTATCCCGGTTTGCAGGTCCCCATCCTTTTATAGTGCAACCTCAGGCAAGTCAGCCAACCTCTCTGGGCCATGGCTTCATCCTTGGCAACCAGGGGTTTCGAGGAGGGAGACTCCTGTCTCAGCACAGCTGGATTTTATGACTCAGACACCTATAGTTGGCTCCAGAGGGAACTCTCCACCCTCCTTTCCCAGCTGATAATAATCACAGCTCCCACTTGGAGCGCTCACCACTGGCCAGAACTGGACTGGGCACTTTTTAATATTCCTTCCAGTGGCATCAGGGAGGCAGATGGGGACACAGAGGCACAGGGGAGTGACAGCTCTCCTGCCAATATCTTCCGCTCCATAGCAGTCCAGTCAGAGGAAATTCTGACCCACTCTGAGGGTGCTCCCCTCCCCCAAGTTCCACACCCTAAGGGAGTCAGTCAGTCCTCCCAAGCCAGAGGCACAGCCCAAACCTTAAGGAGAGCCCAAAACCTTCTCTCTCCCCTTCTTTCTCTCACACAGCACGTCACAGAGGGAGAAAGACCCACATCCCCCTCCCCCGCCACTCACACACACAGAGCACCTCAGAGAGCAAAACAGGCGCACAGAGAACAAAAGATCCACCCAGAGCCCCACTTGTAAGTCTTTGTGCAGATATTCTCAGAAAATGTCTGTGGAGCAAACCTCCAGCCTCCCCCCACCCCAGTTCCTTGCTCCTGCACCCCCATACCCCACACAGACAGAGATCTGGGACAAAGGAAAGCGAGGGGGGCTGGCAGCCTCCGAGCCCCCTTCCTCAGGAGCCTCTTTGTGTGGGGCAGGGGGAGGAGCCGCCTGAATGAACTTCAGATTTAATGAGGGGAAGAAGGGAAAGGAAGGGGGCTGGGACAAAGGGAAAGAAGGGGCCTCAGTCGGGGTCTGGCTGACGCTCCTCCCCCGTGCTGGCGGCAGCCAGAAACCCAATCTGGCAGCCCCCCAGAGACTGGTACCCCTCACGGCACCCTCCTCCCCCAATGTCCCTCAATGCCCCTGTCTTCCAACACAGAGTTCCACCAGGTGGACCCGGACCAGTACCAACCTCGGTGAAGGTGGCTTAGAAAGTCAGATCTGGGGGGGCTCCCGGACCCCGGTTTTCCGCTTGTGAGCCCAGAGGGAAGGGTCTGGAGCTGTTTGGGTGATGTGCCCAGGGTCAGCCAGAGCCAGGAAGGCCCCGAGACAAGGACTAGAGAGACAGAGGCTGGACGGACGAGACACGGAAGGCAGACAATGACAGACGGAGGGAGCGCCGGGACAAAGGAGCGGACAGACAGACATCAGACAGATGCGAACAGACTGGGCAGGCTGGGGCGGGCGGGCAGACACAGACTGACCGGGAGGGGCGCGGGGAGGGTCGCGGACAATCCAGACCATACAAAGAGTCGGGGGTCCGGGAGGCAGAGGCGCACCCCGAGGACATCTCCAAGTTGGGTGAGAAGAGTCGCGGCTCCCACCCCCACTCCCGGCGCTGCCTCCCCAAGTCCCCGTCGACCCCGCCCCACGAAAGGGGCGCTGCCCAGGGCACCCCCCTCGCCGTCCGGGCGCGCGGGGTGATCCCCGCCCCGCACCAGCTGTCCTGGTGCCCGCGAGTGGGATGGGGAGTGGGGGAAGCGGAGAAGGGGGTCCTCGCGGGGCGAGGACGCGGGGTGCGGGCGCAGAGAGACAAGTTTGGAGGAAGGAGACGAAGAAACTATTTGGAAGAAGAACAAAAGTGCGCGGTCGGAGGAGAAGCCGGCGGCGCGGCGCGGGCGCGGGACTCACGCAGGCGATCAGGGTGAAGGCGCCCAAGCAGGCGCCCATGGTGGTGGTGGCGGCGGCGCGGGGCGCGGGGCGCGGGGCGCGGGCCGTGGGGCGCCGGATCCCGTCGGGCTCGGGGCAACCGGCCCTGGGTCCGCCCCCGCCAGCCCCGCCCCGGCCCGGCCCCGCCCCGGCCCCGCCCACACCTGCCGAGACCGCTCGTCGCTTTCCGGCTGCCCTCGGGGCCGCCCGGGACTCACCTGGGACAGGTGAGTCTGCGGGGCGCAGAAGCCACGTGCCCCGAGTGCCCGGCTCTTGGTTGGAGAGCCTCTACCGAGGCTAGGAAATAAGTTTCATAGGTGTTGGGAAATAAATGATTGGACAAAAAAAAAAAATAAGCAATCCACCTCGCCTCTCCCAGCCTGTCGCCCCATCTGTAAAATGAAGCTGTTATCACACGGAGTAGATGGCCAATACCTGTGAACACTGTGAGGCATCTCCACCTGTTCTTCAAACCACTGACAGCTCTCTTGGGCCACAGCCACTTCAGTCAAAAGGCCCATCACTGCCTCCGGGTGCCCAAAACCTGGTCTCAGCTAAGGCGGTCAGAGGGGTGCGTGGGTCCTATTCTGGTAGACCTCCTGGCACAGGTAGGAGGGAGAGTCCCAGAAGCAGCTCTGTAATTACTCTCCCCTCTCTCCCCATTCAACCCAGACAGGATAATGTTAGGGAAGGGAATCTGGGGGCCTTGCAGCTAGCCCTGGGGCCAAAGGTCCAGCCTGACTGCATCTTTGAGTGATTCATTAGGCGCCAGTAATTGTGCCAGGGCTGTTCCCTCCCCCACATTTTTGCCCATATGCTGCCCTCCCCTGCAAATCCTTCCTCATCAACCTCCTACTCTCTGAAGCTGTGTGCTCAGCCCATGTATACTTAGAGCACGACCCACCATTTCCGCCCTCAAAAGCACCGGGGTTCCCCATTATTAGGAAGGAATATTCCAGGTGTGAACAAACAGCGTGGGTCTCCAGGATGGCGTCGCCAGCACCTATGTCACTAAACTTGAGCACTGACAAAACTCACGCCTGTGGTCCCAGTTCAATCCCCTGTTGGCCCTGAGGAGCAGATTAATTCTCCAATGCACTCCAATTCGCAGAGGAAAAAATGAAGTGGGGGCTGGGGAGATAGCTCAAAGAGCTGGAGAGCATGCTATGTCCAGCCCTGGCACCACCTAGCCAGAAGTAGCTCCCCAAACACCAGCAAGTGTGGCCCCAAAACAAAGAAGTAAAACAACATGTGCCACTGACAGGTGAGCTGTGTGTGAATAGGCATGGCAGTGGGTGTCATTGAGACCAGACAGCTCATAAGTGCAGAGCCAGATGTCTACATCTGATCCTGACTTCAGGACCCCAGATCTGCCTGGTGTCTCACTGTAAATCTTGGGAGCAGGGGAGGAGAGGTGACAATGTCCAGTTCATCCACTTCTGTCCAGTCTGTTCCTCATCGGAGACTTTTAGGGGACTTAAAGTCCCCCCAAGGACTGGCCAGCCCCTCCCCTGATACAAGAGCCAGCACATGGCAAGATAGAAAAATGATGATAAATGAACCTATTAAGGGCTGGAGCAATAGCATAGCGGGTAGTTTGCCTTGCACGGCTGACCCGGGTTTGATTCCCAGCATCCCATATGGTCCCCCGAGCACTGCCAAGAGTGATTCTTTAGTGCAAAGCCAGGAGTAACCCCTGAGCATCGCCGGGTGTGACCCAAAAAATACAAAAAAAAAAAACAAACCATCAAGGCGCTGGAGTGATAGTACAGTGGGATGTGCTTGCCTTGCATACGACTCACCCAGGCTTGATCCCTGGCACTCCATATGGTCCCTCAAGCCCTGCCAGGAGTGATCCCTGAGCACAGAGCCATGAGTAAGCTCTGACTAAAGCCAGGTATTGGCCCCAAACCAAAAATAAAGAAAGAAACCCATCATTATCCAAATTTACCACAAGCCTGATTTCCTCATTTTGCCCTGACAGTCTGATTCCCAAACAGCCTCTATAGGGTCCCCTTCTAGCCAGCCTGTCCCTGGAATGCCACCGAGACTGAAGCACCCAGACCCCCGGAGCAGTTTGGGGTTTTCTTTTTTGTTTGTTTGTTTGTTTTGACACTTCTCCCCCAAGGGACAAATCTTCCATCCCACAACTCCTCCCTCACCCAATATCTGATCCCATTGAAAGTGCCTGAGACCAAGATGAGAGAGCCCCTGAGACTATCTCAGCCTCTCTAGACCCACTCAGTCATGCTGAAGGGGTGGGAGGTCAGGGCTGGCCTCCATCACTCCCCTGAAAGTGGTGGTGTTTATCTTACTTGACTTTCCAGAGTCACAGTAAGCACCTCCCGATAGCCTTCCTGGACACAGAAGTTCTCAGGAAGGCCTGAGGCATGCACACACCTGCAGGTTTAAGAAAGACTGAGACTCCACACACACACACACACTCTCCCAGTTCCACTGACATCTTCCAGGGGATGTGCTGTCACAGCTCGGCCTCACCATCCCACTGTGGTCCAGTGTACTGCAGGGCACAGTGAGCCTCCTCATCACCCCTAGCCCCAGTAACTCACTGCATAGTAGCCTTGTCTCTGCTCTGGCGACTCCTCCTCTTTCAGCCGCACGCTTCTCATCTGTGAAATGGAGAGACTGGTCATTACAGCAGCTAGCTTTGACGCTAATGGAGGAGAGGGCAGCAGGGGGTAGAAAATGAACCTGGCCAGCCTGTCCTGCTGTCTCCTGGCCTGGGACCTCTGGACAGGACCAGGACCTCCCTCTCATGTCTCAGCAGGGAAGAGTGAGGTGGGATCTGGCCAAGCGGCCCAACCTTTCCAAGATTCCCTGCAGGCTGCAATTCAAGACGCTCAGCTCTTCCCCTGGATGCCACATGCACTGTGCTCCAGGAGAGCCAGACAGAAGTCAGGACATGCAGCCCCCTGTGCCCATGCTCCAGATACCCAATTCTCCCCAAGAAGCAGGCTCAGGCTTCCTGGCCACTCGTGCCCAAGTCCTCTGATCTCACTGGGACTCAGTGTTCAGATCTGAAAAAAGAAAGACCTTCCAAAACCCTCCAATGCCATCAGATCACTCTTGCCCTGTCCTTCTCACCATCCTCCCATCCATGAGGACGCAGACAGTCTCTTGACTCTGAGCCTCCGGTGCCCCTGGGCCTTGCTCACTCCACTGACCTTCACTTCCTGCTTGCCATCCATTTACAGAGCTGGGCCTAGGCGGTCCCTCATGAATATGCAAACGGTAATAAGGGTGTCTGATTGGTGGAGCATCAGAGGAGAGGCAGTCCCCTAGATACTACCCACCCACTTCCCCATTCACTGGCCCCTACCAGGCTGCCCAACTCCAGAAGGGCATGGAATTTGAGGTAACATCCACAGTAATAATTTTTTAAAATATTTTTTATAGGAGTCACACGCAGCGGTGCTGGCAGTGGATGGGGCAGAGCCAGTCCTAGAAGTGTGGGTTTCCCCCACCTCCAGTGCTCCAGGTCCATGAGAATTGGGGGCCGTGTGGTGCCAGGGATGGAGTTCAGGGCTTTGCCCAGACTAGGCAAGCCTTTTTATTGGAGCTAACTCCCCACCAGCATCCCAAGCAATCATTTTTAATGTGTTTTCAGCAAGCCAGCCATCCTATTAAGAGTTACTTGTGTGAGACACTTCTAAGGTGGGAACTTAAAGCACAGAATTTTTAACATATTTAAAGATATTTAATATATCAGAAAATCAGTGTTCCAAGAAGTCTAGTAACTCACACCTAAACGATGTGTGGAACATGGGCTGTGATTATGTGGAGGGAAGTGAGGGCCCATGTGCTAGGATGACTTCATCTGGCAAGAGGAGGATAGATGCACAGGCAGTGTGCAGGCAGGAGCACAGATAGATGCACAGACAGGTGCACAGACAGGTGGGCAGACAGGCACACAGACAGATGCACAGATAGGTGTGCAGACAGGCACACAGACAGTTGTACAGATAGGCACAGACAGGTACACAGACAGGTACACAGGCAGGCGCACAGACAGGTGTGCAGACAGGCACACAGATAGGCACACAGGCAGGCACTCAGACAGTTGTACAGACAGGCACACAGACAGGCATACAGACAGGCACACAGACAGGCGCATGGATAGGTGCATCAACAGGCACTCGCCCCGTGCCAGCTCCACGTGTCTGTGTGTGCATGTGTGTAAGCACACGTGACAGAGTAACTCTGAGGAGGCCCAAGATATGAAGGGCTGCACCTCTTTGTTCCTTTTCAGAGGGCATCGTCCCCAGCAGTGCTCACAGACCGGGGACCACTCACCTCAATTGACAGGATACAGGCCTGGCAGTGCTCAGGCTGTAGCCGGCAGTTCTCAGAGGCCACTGGTGACAGGATTGAGCCAGGGCCTCCGCGTGCAAGGCAGCCCTTGAGTCTTTTGAGCTTTCTCGCACCCTTTGTTCCCTTCTCAATCAACACTTAGGGGTTGTTTGAGGTTTTTTTTGTTGTTGTTTGTGGGCCACACTAGGAAGTGTTCAGGTTTACTCCTGGCTTGATGCTAAGGGATCACTTCTGGCAGGGCTTGGGACACCATGTAGGGTGCCAGGGACGGAACCTACGCAAGGCAAGCACGGTAACTGCTGTACTATCTCTGGTCACTCAACCAATATTTCAAGAGGGTTGCCATGTGCCTGGTGTGGGGATGGTCATAAGAAGGCTGGAGGTCCCTGGCCTGGTGTTGCAGTGGCTACAGCCAACGAATCTAGAAGGGATCTCTGTGGAAGGAGGCTGGGGCAGAGTGGAAAACGTGGGACGTGAGGGGTGATCAGTCCTGACACTTGGCAGAAAGGAGGTTAGGAAGCAAGCCAGGAGCTGACCAGGGCTCCACAAGGGGCACAGGCCTGAGGATTCAAAGGTTCTGGGGCCAGAACAAAAGCACTGTAGGTAAGGAGGGTGCTTGCCTTGCACGTGGCCAACATAGTTCAATCCCTGGCACCACATCACATTCGGTCCCCCAAACCTCACCAGGAGTGATCCTTGAGCAGAGTCAGGAGTAAATCCTGAGCATAGC